TTGGGAATAAATTTTTACCTTTCAGACTGTAAGTTATGATCACAGACAGGACCTGCGGTTAACATCTCATCTGAAGCACGGGACCCCTGACAATGAGCGTTTCCCTCGCCCTGCAGTGAAGTGTCAGATAGACTGAGCTCAAGTCCTGATGTGGGGCTTCAAACAATAAGTTGCCTCCGGTTGGCAACAGATTGAGGTACTGATCCGAAACTGTACATCTCATATTCACATCTTCAGATATGTGGTCAAATCTGTACTACTACATTAGTATTTGTATTGCAAGCACTGGTTTAAAAATGAAAAGATTTTTTTCCTTCAAATTAATATTTATCCATTAAATTAATATTTATTTACCCCTCTCCCCACCCCCAACCAAAAGCCCACGCTCCTGTTGTCATACAGGTCCACTGACACCAGTCAAGTGACAATATCTCACCCCAACGGGCCACCCCTCATGTGGGAAGTGAACAGAAAGTACGCCGACAACTTGACGGCAGGAGGCATCACAGCCCAAACTGATCCGACTTCAACCATTATCCACAGATCCCCGCTTTCCAAGAAGAGGGAAAAGAATCCCCCCAAACCCCCCCACCCCAACACACACACACACACACTCTTTTGTATCCCGGAGGTGCCCCCATTAATTATCGTGCGCTGACACAGTGCATCAGCACCCGGAGTTTACACAGCAAATGATCACACTCCCAGTTGGGTTGAAGGCACCTGCTCTGCAGTCGTCTCTCGTAACCTGAAGCCTCGGGCCTACCCTAGTCAGCTGAGGAAACAGTCCGCTCGCTCAATCAACTGCACTAAAAAAAATAAACCTCTGGGTCTGCGTCGTGCTCCGCCACTGTCGAGCGTTCTGGGACTCTACCCTGCAATGAGGGGCGCTATATAAATGCAAGTCACTGTTGCACACTCACTGATTAAGTGAAAAATTCCCATTCAGATGATCGAGTGTGAAGAGATAGCAAACGCACGTGTGTGGAGCTCTATTGTTTCTTTTCGCCCACACAATACTTATGTGAAGGGGCAGAGCCACTGTCCCAATACTGAAAGGGTTTGTTCACACAAACCCACGCTCAAACCTGACAGGAGACAAAGCTGAGGGTACGACAGCCCCCACATCACTGCTGAATGAATAGAACTCCGGTCAACATCACCAATCAAACAACCAGCTCTTTAAAAAGAAATTCCACATTTGGGGACTTCCACATTCATCAAGCCTTTTTTTAACAACGTTGCAGAGGATTATTTTGCTTCATCCGCACCTCCTAAAACAATGTACTGATAAAGGGAAGAGTGTCAGCATTTTAAGTTAAAGGAAAAGCAGAAACAGCAAATATGTCACAATCGCCTGCCTGCCTGCCTGCCGATGGATAAAAATAGTGATATTTTCATTACATTTTAAACTGGGTTGTTTCCCTACAGACGAGCAAGGAAAAGATTGCTATTTCCAACGATTTTTAAGGCGCCCAACAAATCAAAACGTGTCAAAGTGCTTCACAGTAATCACTATCAAATGCAGAGTTTTTTTTTGTAGCCAAATGCTGGCAGCTTTTTCGCGGATAGCAAAATCTGACAAATGACCACAAGGTGAATGACTGATTTGATTTGGAGGATTGCTGACTAGGAATCTGGGAGAAACGCTTGAATCTTTTCTCATGAGATCATGGGACCTTTAGCATCCACCCAAACAAGACGGTACCTTGGGTTAACATCTCGTCCAAAGTACGGCAGTTCCAGTAATGCAGTGCTCCCAAAGTGCTTGTCAACCTAGACCGTGATCTTGTCTTAATGTTTTCCCAGTACCTGCTATCAACTCATGAGGGCTCAAACCTGTACCTGTCAGATGTCATGCTAGGCACTCATGACTGTGGGGAGGAAGCAAAAGGGGTAACGTCTCCTTGGGCTGAGCTGGCTCCGAGGTGACATATTTGGCAACAGAATATCAGAATCAAGTCACCCTCTGTGGTGCCTCAGTAGATCACTTCCTAAGCCAGGAAGGTCTGCAGTACTCCAGGGCACTGCTGACAGACCAGACAACCTGCCTTGTTGGCAGGACTTTGAGGTGCAGAGATTCTTCCCATCTGATTCCCATTAATCCTGCAAGCCAAGGCCCTAGACAGTAGGGTGGTTCTAGCTGGATAAGCATTGGGAAGCCTGCCAGTGAATACTCACAATGGCAAGCTATGCGGTATTATGTAGTTAAACTGCCAAGTATTCCAACAACAACTTGCACTTATGTAGAGCCCTCCACACAGGGTAGAGCCTCAGAGTGCTTAACAGTGGCGTAATCTTTCAACACATACTCTGGGGTCCCAAATCCTTGGGGCTTGCCAACCGCACCTAATATTCTCTAGGATTAGGAAAGTGCGGTTTCTCTTTCCAGGGAGAGAGTGCACATTGCCTTCCACACACAGGGAAGTCTCCATGTGTAGGTGATAAATTCTCGGTTTCAGTCAACTTTGAATACTCTTTAGCATGGTGATGGGTTTCCACATGGGTAAGTCACCTGGTTGACAAAAAACATCGATCCAAGGCTTGAACTTGGAACCTTCTGACCCAGAGGCGACAGTGTTATCAACTGAATCAGGATGACACCTAAATGACTGCCAGTGATTGATCTTTTCTTGGAGCCAAACCCAAATCCCTTTGCAAACGCATGCCCAGCGCCAATCACAGCGCCATTCAGCAACGCATGACAGAAGCGATTTAATAGCCGTTTAACTGCAGCAAACCGTGGGTAATCATTTTATGATGCACCTCATCACTGAGCGCTCCTCAAGTCACAATAGAGAAAGTTGAATTGTTGAAATAACAATGAAGGGGAGGGCAGAGAAGAGAAAGAAGTAGTAGAAATATACCAGGTGCAAGCATTACATTTCTAATTTTGAAAATGTGTATACAATAAAGCTTCAGACTGATCTCCAGGCAGGGTCGTACTATCTGTGTAATCTGTTTATTACAGGGCAGCCAGAGACACAACAGCAGGGAGATGAGTTTTACTGGAAGTAGTGGGAGGGGGGGGAAAGGAATTAGATAGTAAGGGAGTAATAAAACAGGTGTACTGATAATAGGAAGCAGTAACTGGAAAATTGAAGCTTATCTCCTTCACCAGCAGAGTGCTCTGAACTACTGTGGAATCAGGGAATGGGTTACCTGTCAATTACAGGGCAATATATCACATGAGACCAAGAGCCAGCCCATATTCAACATACCAGCAGAGCATACAAAGCTACTCACTCATCAACTGAATTAAGATTAACAACAAATAAAATAAGACATCCTCCCAAACTGTGGAAGGAGAACAGCAAATGAAACAGTGAAAAACAAATTAAACATTGTAGGAACAAAGAAAAATTGTACAAGGCTCAAATTGGAATAGATAATGATTCTCGGAATTTGGACCAAGCGATTCTAAGTTCATCCCTTCAGTCTTCACTGTTAAGCGTTCCGAGATGCTATCCAGAGTGAAGGGCGCTACGTAAATACAAGTTGTTGTTGATTGTTAGAACTGAAAAACGGCTCTAAAAACTGTCTTCGTGAGGCAGCGGAAGGAAGAAATGTAAGGAAGCTGAACTGGCTTTGAGGATATCTGCCTTGTTTTGGAATAATCAAAGGCGCTATTGATGGTTGACCCGCCTTTTCTGGCTGATCAGTGCAACATGCAAAGGTGTAAAACTGGTCCTCAACTCTCCAAATCAAGTGCTGCTGAACATGTACAGCCACCCTGGCTAAACAGGAAATGTTTACCTTACAAAAGCTGAGTCAAGCATTTTATCTACATTTTTTAATTCAATAAAATACTCAGGGAAATGGCTTTGCTGTTTGACCCGCTGTCGATTTCCAGTAATTTTATTTTAAGAGAGGTAGGAGGAGGAGGAGGAGGAGGAGGAAAATTATCTTAGAATATAAAATCAGTGGAGCCAGATCCATAAATGTTGACAGGAGGAAATTTGCATTCCAGCACTGATTTATTTGATTTGCAAAGGGCCACTAATTATTTTTTTGCAGCAAAGGGTGTAAAGTTCTTGTAAGGCAAGGAGGAAGGAGTGAGTGACTGGATGCTGCCACATCCTGGAGCTGAAGCCCAGTTACAAGCAACTAGCTGGTCTGTACCCTGGGGAGACAGGGTCTGGGGCTCTGAGAGGAGGAGAGAGGCAAAGTCTTTGAGGACATTTCAAGTGTAAACTTGTGAAATAAAAACCTTGGGGTGGGGAGGGGAGGGGTGGTCATCTGAAAATTCCTCCTTCATTACATCCTTGGACATTCTCATGTTTTTTTTAAATAAAATAACCTCAGGCTGATCCCTGCCTCCCTTAAATGCAAGAGGGATGCCATAGCTCCTCTTGCCCCTCTGAGATCTATCCAAAAAGCAGCTAGAAATAACACCCAGTGAATGCAACCAGAAAATTCAACCAGCATTGCTTGGAAGTTTCCAAATGAGGCAAGTGAGCGTTTGGAGAATGAAGCAAATACAACCTCTCTTTCCCCTCCACAAACACACACACACACACACACACAGAGCAACACATGAAACCCATCTGATTGCAAGACTGAAATGTGCAATTCAGATATTATTATTCCACAAACGATGCACTGTAAATAAAATCTGCACATCCTCTTTTAAAGAGGGCTGCAAACTGCCAATGCTGCATTGTTGAAAGGATGTTCCTGCTACAGTACAATTCTCTCTCTCTCTCTCTCTTCCCCCCCATTCATTTCAGTAAATCTCTGCACATTCATTTCACTGCTGCAAATGCAAACCCGCCTTTTCACTGCACATTGAGATCTGCAACTGCATCCTTGTCCATTTCACTGCACACATCTCTCACTCAATGCATTGTAACATTACTTCACACACACACTCACATATATATAGATACACACACACACACACACACATATAGGGGGTTGGGGCTGATGTGCCAAAACAACAAAATAAAGGCGATTGCAAAACATAAAGTGGATATAAGCAAATAAAGCGATGATCACACCTTTTCTCCCTTTGCTTTTCCTTGTCTTCAGTTCAGCTTCTAAAGGATTCCCACAGAAAGGCTCTCTCACTGCAGCCACTCACTCAGTCAGTCAGTCTGTGTGTCTCCTGTTGTTGCTGCTTTCCCCCAGCAAATATATACTGTATTTATATATTCAGATATATCTCCCTCTCAGGGCTGCACAGAGAGGCGAGTGAGCACTAAATCATAGCTCTAAAGAGGAAGATGGCGACTGACTGGGGGAGAAGATTGAAAACCTCTGTGGCTTTGAAAGAAAACTGAAAGAGGGAGAGGAGGAGACATGTAATCCCTCCCTCACAGTCAGCACAGAGAGCAGCAGAGCTCACACAGCACTGCACTGCACAGCACTGCACAGCAGAGCAGCGCCTTCACTGGCCTCAGGTGGCACAGCAACACCACACAGTCTTTATCATCTTACAGTCACAATCACCACACACAGTCTTTATAAACCTACAGTCACCGCGCACAATGGAGTCCTGTAACTTACTGGTTAGCGCTCTCGCCTCGCAAGCGAGAGCACCCGGGTCGATTCCCGGCAGGGCAAAACGTTGGCTAAGTTTCCTTACCCCACACGCCTCTGTTTACTCAGCAGTAAGTAGGAACCCGGTTGTCAGTCGATTGGTGGATCACTTTCCGAGGGTAATAATCGCTTAAAAAATGTATGATTTTGTCAGTCAATGCCACGATTTGTGGGATACTGCTGTGCGCAATTATCTGCCGCATTTCGCCCACACATTATACAGTCAATTTACATTACAATATATTCTGTGAAGCGCTTTGAGACGTCTCAAAGATGTGATAAGGCGCGATATCAAATGCAAGGATTATTATATTATCATTATTAAACCTACAGTTACAACACACAGTGTTTATAAGGCTTCATTACAGGCACCACACAGAGATATCCTTTGGATGAGACATTAAATGAGCTTCGCCTGCCTGTTCAGGTTGACGTTAAAGATCCCACGGCACTATTCGAAAAGGGAAAAGAGTTTCTCTCTCCTGGTGTCCTGGCCAATAAGTCCCCCAAATAAGATTGGTCATTCATTCCATGGCTGTCTGTGACACATTGCTGTGCGCACACTGCTTGGTATGTTTCGCCCACAGAATATAGAGTCAATTCACTTTACAATATATCCTGTGAAGTGTTTTGCGATGTCTCGATGACATGATAAGGCGCTACATCAAATGCAAGGATGATTATTATAAACCTACATTTACCACCCAGAGTGTTTATAAACCTTCACTCACAATCACCTCAAACTGTTTTCACACAGGGTTATATTCAACCTTCACTCACCCATAATAATAATCCTTGCATTTGATATAGTGCCTTATCACTTCACTGTAACATCTCAAAGCGCTTCACATGATTTACTGCAAAGTGTAGTGACTGCATTTATTATGCAAATGCAGCCAACAATTTGCATACAGCAATGTCCAATGAACAGCCAAAAAGAGATGATCAATTATATGTGGCATGTAATTTGGCAGCAAGTTGGTACTGGGAGGACAGGCAAATGAAGTGAAATGGGAGAAAAGTCTGGCCTTTTCAGGGTTGTCACTTTTCAATGCTGTTACTTGGTATCAGTTAAATTAACCACTTGTGTTCCCAACTCTAGGTATGGCCGGCTAATTTTTGGCTTCTTTCTTGTTTATCCTTCAGCCGTCCCCCTCTGTCACACCTTGCTCTGCCGTGTCTCTCTCTCTCTCTCTCACACTCTATCTCTCCTGGTTAGCTTCGCTGTTGTGCCACACTCTCTTCCTCCTTTCTCCACTATTGTGTTCTGCTCACTGACTGCTTTCTCATTTTACCCAGTGCAAATCTCCGAGACGCTATCCTGTGCAAAGGGAGCTAAAGTAATGTAAGTTGCTGTTCCATAGATGCCCCCTTTAGATAGAAATGTCTGTATCTGGAATGGGATACGACTCTTTCCCCGGAGGGATTCATCTTTTACTCATCTAATTCCGGAGAGAGTTAGGCGCAGGTTGCCAAGAGCCAAGGCTTGGGGACCCCAGAATGTATTCATTGTGTATTGTTGGCGTTTAACTGGCTGAAACTGCTTTGAGACGTCCTCCTGACATGAAAGGTACTGTATCAAATGCAAGTGTTATTATTGTTTGGTATTTTTTAACTCAAGGGACAGATGACAAGGCAGACATACAGGCTCTGTTATGCAGAGTTCTTGAGTTGGTAACATGGGCATTACTTAAACCTCAGTACAGATGAGGAATGAACAACCGTTTTCCCACAAAGCATTAATGTAGTCCATAAGTTTACATCTATATTTGGAACAAATATTCCCATTGTTTTATTATTCTTTTCAGCTTAAGCACTGTTTACAATCTATAATTAGATGATTTCAGTGCAAAGAACCTCACGGGTTGTCTAATGTTCTTTCAGATGGTCAAGAGCTTCAGTAGAGATTTTTTTTATTTGCTCTACTTCGGGGACAGGGATAGCCTTTCCCTTCTGACTGTTGTCAGCAATCTGTGTATGTGTATGTGTTTAGTGGAGGCACTTGACATCATTAAAACCATGTGTTTTACAAGGGAAACTGCATTAATTATTTCAGTGCTTTCATCCCACATCCTGTCTCTCTCTCTTTCTCTCTGTGGATGTCAGAGCTCACTATTTGATGCCAAGGTGTTTTTTCTTCCCTTTCAGAACTTCTCACTTACTTTTGAAGACTAGCCCCTTTCAGTGTCTGTTATTGATACCTACTGCCGTTGAAAGCTTTCTTCCTTTGATGGTAGGACTATGTTTAAATTATTCTCTGTGCCATTTCTTTGAGACTTCCTCCCAATGTGAAATATATAAATGGAAATTGTTTTGGAAATCGTATTACATTTAGATTCTAACCATAAATGTTTGTACAATCTCAGCTCTGCCACTGTACTGTTATGTGGAATGGCATTTACTACATGACAAGGACAGAAAATACCAATTTACTGAAAAGGCAAGAAGAACAATAATTTGCGCTCATATAATGCCCTTCAGCAAGGAGCACTTAACCATGGTGTAGCCTAACGTCAAGCCAGGGGGCGAGGGCAGATGACTGTAAGCAAGGTCGAAGAGGAAGGTCCTCTAGTGTGATCTGAAAATGGAGAAGGAGGGGGCAAAGTGGAGGGTTTGATGGAGAGTTCTAAAGTTTCGGGAAGTAGTGGCTGAAAGCAAAGCCACTGATGTTGGAGCAGAAGGGACGAGGAACAAACAAGAGGCTGGAGCCAGCCGAACGGAGGCGGCAGGTGGTGGAGTAGGGAGTCAGCAGGTTGGAGACACAGGGAGGTGCCAGGGCATGAAGGGATTTGTAGACTAGTGTAATGATGTTGACGTTGATCTGTTCTGTAATTAGGGAGCCAGCGAAGCCTGGCAAGAATAGGGATACAGAGTTTGGAGCAGGTGTGTATATGGATGGCAGAGTTTTGAATTAGTTGGATTTTGTGCATAGTGGAACTGGGGAGACCAGCAAGGAGGGCATTGAAATAGTCAAGGCAGGAGGTGACGAAAGCGTGGACAACAGTTTTGGCTGCATTAAGTGTGAGGTAAGGTTGGGGGTGGGAGATGGAGGAAAGCGGTCCTCGTCAGGGTCTGGATGTGGGATAGGAAAAACCGTTGGGGATCGAACCTTTACTTAAGGTGTAGGGGTAGGCTGGGGAAGTTGAGGAGGTGAGAGTTGCAGAAAAGAAGATATTGACAGGAGCCAAAGAGTATGGCTTCTGTCTTGTCAACATTCAGCTGAAGGAAGTTTGCGCTCATCCAGGCCTTGATGTCTAACAAACAAGTTGACAGAACATCAGTGGACCTGGAGTCACGGCTGGAGGAAGAGAAGTAGACTTGAGTGCCACCCCCGTAGATGTGGAAGTTGACCTTGTGTCTGCGGATGTCTTCGCTGAGAGGTAGCATATAAATAAGGAAAAGAAGGGCGCCAAGGATGGAACCTTAGGGTACAGCAATATAAGAAATGTTTTGATGGTTATCACCCAATCTGGAGAACATCCTATAGCCAAGTTTGTTTATTTACCCCTCACACCTTCATGACTCACCCTTTTCAGTGAATCGAATAAGTTTGTGCTGTGACCTTGGAACTGACCAGGCTGGAAGAGGCAGAAAAGATTGGCCACTCACAACAGATTGATCTACATCTGGAAGAGAGAGATAGATTAGTGTTTCAGGGGCAATTCAATCCCGGATGGAGCAAAGTGCCAGCTGTTATATCAGTTGCCTTCATGACATCTCTGTCCTTCATGAGAGGGAGTTGCATCCATCTATGGTTCATGAGAGGGAGAATTCCCTTCTCTTTTCGAACAATGCCACAGGATCTTTAATGATCCACCTGAACACCCAAACTTCAATTTAATGTTTCATCCTAAGGATGGCATCTCCGACAATTCAAGAACAACAACAAATTACATTTGTATAGTGCCCTTTCAAGGTTGGGAGGACATCCCAAAGCACTGACAAATGGTATCACTATAATTTTGTGGTACAAATATAACTCTACTCACTTGCAAAAGTCAAGCAGCACTAGTCCAAGTTATTAAGACACCAAATAAGGTTATGTCTTTTAAAGGGGATGTCAGTGCCTTGGGATGTCCTCCCGATGCGAAAGGCGCTATACAAATGTAAACTGTTGTTGTTATTTAAAAAAAAGGCAGTTTAGAAAAAGCAGCCGCGGCCCAGACACAATGCTCTGAATTGTTCTCCTTCGTGTAGAAAACGTCAACGGTTCAACCTTTGGGCCACTCCAATGAGGATTTGATTAGATGGCTATGTTTTCAGCAGGAGGGTTTGCTGCTGTTAAAATATGTAGAAAGTACATCGTCACTTTGCTGATAAATTGCCTGCCAATTTACTGCCTAACATCCTTCAGCGCTGAGGAAAAAGAGAATCAGAGTTTCAGCTTTACCATTAGTTACACCCAATGACTGAATTTTAATAAGCAAGAAGCATTAGAGGAGTGGGAAGGCACTTTCTCTTAAGTAGTGAAGAGGAGCTCTTTATATAAATGTGTCTCACTCTCCCCATCTGTGCAGGATTATCATGTAATGCCTCCATAGAGGAAGAAACGGGGAGAGAAATTGCTTTTGTATAACCAAGTTTTTTGTAACTATTGTTCAGCACAGAATGACAGCATACCATGTGCTGCACATACACAATAATGAAATGAAATGGCGGGAGGGAATTACAGAGGAAGTGGAGAAACCCAATCCAGGGCTTTAGATGATCTCGTAAACGATGAGAGCAAAAGCATGAGCACTTTACACATGTCATTTGAGGCTTTAAATGACAAGTTATGTCAGTCGTTGC